CCCACACTCAGATCCAGGTCCCAGTCCTAGGTGGCAATCCCACGGTGAAAAGGAACACTAGCGTAGCAGAGCTTGCAGCCACAATTGGGGGGAGGCGGGCAGGGGCGGGGCTTCCTCATAGTTCCAGGGCCGAAAAGTATGCTTGTGATGACTCACAGACCAGAGCACCGGTCAGGAGGGTAGAAAACAACAAATTACTGGACAACCTGCAAGCTATGATCAAAAAAGAAACCTAGACATCATCTTTCAAGAAATTATCAAGGAAAACTGCCCTGATAGTCTAGAACCAGAAGGTAAATTGGAAATTGAAAGAATCTACTCAGCACCTCCTGAACACACAGACCCTGCCTCTCCCCCCCGACTCCCGCAATGAAAACTGCCAGGAATATTATAGCCAAATTCCAGAGTTCTCAAGTTAAGGAGAAAATATTGCAAGCAGCCAGAAAGAAACAATTCAAGTATTGTGAAGCCACAGTCAAGATAACACAAGATTTAGCAGCTTCTATACTAAAGAATTGGAGAGCTTAGAATATGATATTCCAGAGAGCAAAGAGGCTAGAATTACAACCAAGAATCACCTACCCAGCAAAACTGAGTATAATTCTTCAGGGGAAAAAGTGAGTATTCAATGAGATAGGGTACTTTCAAGCATTCTTCATGAAAAGACCGGAGCTGAATAGAAAAATTAACTTTTCAAACAAAAGACTCAAGCATAAAAAGGTAAACAGGAAAGGGAAATCATAAGGGACTTAATAAGATTAAACTGTTTACATTCCTGTGTGGGAAGATATTTGTAACTCATAAGACTTTTCTCATTAGGGTAGCTAGAAGAAGTATATATAGACAGAAAGCACAGATGTGAGCTGAACATGAAGGGATGATATCTAAAAAATAAAATTAAGGGGTGAGAGAAGAATGTACTAGGAGAAAGAGAAAGGGAGAGAGGTAGAATGGGGTAAATTATCTCAAAAGGGGCAAGAAAAAGCTTTTACAGTGGAGGGAAAGAAGAGGGGAGGTGAGAAGAAGTGAGTGAACCTTACTCTCATCTGAATTGGCTCAAAGAAATAATAACATACACAGGCAATTGGGTACAGTAATCTATCTTACCCTACAGGAAAATAGGAGGGGAAGGGGATGGGGGGGGCGGCCTTGGCACATGGTGATAGAAGGGAGGGCAGATTAGGGGAAGGGGTAGTCAGAAGCAAAACACTTTTGAGGAAGGACAGGGTGAAAGGAGAGAAAGAATAGTATAAAAGGGGGGAGGACAGGATGGAGGGAAATATAGTTAGCAATAGTAACTACGAAAAAAATTTGAAGCAAGTTTCTCTGCTAAAGGCCTCATTTCTCAAACATACAGAGAACTGTGTCAAATTTATAAAAATAAGAGCCATTCCCCAATTCACAAATGATCAAAAGATATAATCAGTTTTCAGATGAAGTAATCAAAGCTATCTATAGCCATAAGAAAAAATATTCTAACTCACTACCAATTGGAGAAATGAAAATTAAAACAATTGAGGTACTACCTCATACCTATTAGATTGGCTAATAGGACAGAAAAGGAAAATGACAAATGTTGGAGGGGATGTGGGGAACATGATATATTAATGCACTGTGGGTGGAGTTGTGAACTGATTCAACCATTCCATAGAGCAATTTGGAACTATGCCCAAAAGGCTATAAAACCATGTACACCCTTTGACCTAGCAATACCACTACTAGGTCTGTATCCCAAAAGAGATTAAAAAAAAAAGGAAAAGAATCTATATATACAAAAATATTTATAGCAGCTCTTTTCTAGGGGTAAAGAATTAGAAATTGAGGGAATGTCCATCGATTGCAGAATGGCTGAACAAATTATGCTACATGATTATGATGGAATACTATTATACTATAAGAAACGATAAGCAGGGTGCTCTCAGAAAAACCTGGAAAGACTTGTATGGGCTGATGCAAAATGAAAAATACTGTGTACAAAGTAACAGCAATATTGTAACATGATCAGCTGTGAATGACCTAGCTATGCTCAGCAATACAACAATCCAAAACAACTCTGAAAAACTTTATGAAAAATGCTATTCATCCCCAGAGAAAAAACTGATAGTATCTGAATACAGATTTCAGAAAAAACTGGAAAGACTTGTATGAACTGCTGCAAGGTGAAATGAGCAGAACCAGGAAAACATTGTACACAGTAACAGCAACATTGGGTGATGATCAACTATGAATGACTTAGCTCTTCTCAGCAATACAATGATCCAAGACAATTACAAAGGACTCTAGTCAGAAAATACATCCAGATAAAGAATTGATGGACTCCAAATGCAGATCCAAGTACACTATTTTCACTTTATTTTTCATGGTTTTTTCTTCCTTTTGGTCTGTTTCTTCTTTTGCAACTGTGATCAATATGGAAATAGGTTTTACAAGATTGCACATATATAGTCTATATCAAATTGCTTACCATTTCAGGAAGAGGGGAGGGAGGATGGGAGAAAAATTTGGAACTCAAAATCTAGTAAAACTGAATTTCAAAAATTGTCTTTACATATAATTGGGGGAAAATACTATTTTAAAAAAAAGACTTGGCAAGATGGACTTGGCAAGCAAAGTGGGGGTAATGATAGGCCTGAGACAGTTGCCTGGGATGGAAAATATGACTGCAGTGATAAAAAGAACTCCCAGATGAGGAAACTCCTTCTACCATTGTAATTGGGCATCTTCTCAACATATTATAGTGTTAGATGCTTAGAGCAAATAGAGGTGAAATTGACCTTCTGAGCATTCAAGCCATAGTTAAGTATATATGTTAGACAGAGACAGGAAAGCATGAACTCTGCTCTTCCTGACTCAGAGAGGAGTACCTACTCTCCAGGAAATTTGTGGTGAGTAACTTCCCTCATCTGAACTTCAGTTTTCTCATCAGCATAATGAGAGGGTCAGACTAGATGGCCTCTTTCTTTGTTATCTGGCATCCAGCTCTAGAATACTACCACCATTCTGTCAATTTCTGAAAAAAAAAAAAAGCTTTCTCACACTATGACAGAGTGATACCTGAAATCAAAAACAACCGCTTTCCAGTCTTCTCTTCCTTTCGATGCTAAGTATTACTTTTTAGGCTATCTCTTCACTAGCATCTACTTTGAATTTTTTCAAATCAAGAGTCAGGTCAATACTGACAAAAGACTAGTATCTTCAGTGAAAAGGACAACTCCCATGGCAAGTTAGACATGTGTTCAGAAAGTGAAAATAGTTTTTAGAGATATACGGCCTGCCTCAGCCACTATCAATTGGATTCCTCTTCCAGGGATCATCTAGAATGATGGAAAAGATGACTGCATAAATTCCTTTCCAGAAATTGCAGATTTGCTTACTAGTCATTTTAAATGTATTTACTCACTATTCTAGGAAGGTCAAGCTTTGCCCAGTAACAGAATTTATAGAAGAGCCCATGCCTACTATGAGTGGTGAGTTTCTTCACTTTCTTCACTTTCTTTTTGCTCTTGCTGATTTCATTCTACATAGAGTTATTGGAGGATGCCTGAGATGAAAACCAATTTTAGTGCAATAGATTCTTTACCAAAAGCAGCCTAATCTACAGAATGATTGCAAAATGACATTCTTTGAGGAATTCCCCTTGTAAAAGAACAATAACAAATCACTGTGAGTCAACAACTTAGGAATATTAAACTAGGACAATTCATGCTTTGGAACCTCCAAGGGACACTCTAGTCCCCCACCAGAAGAGTCCATGGCAGCTGGCACAAGGGTTGCTGCTACACTATCCTTTCTAACTTTGCACCCTCAAAATGAGAGGCTTCTAACTCATGGTGACCAAAATCACATAGGCAAAGCTACCGTTTTTAATTTTCTCTTGGTGCCTAAGGTACTTTGGTGCTTCTGTTCCACTACAATATGTATTAAGTAGACTTCTGTAGATTACTTCAAGAAAATGTTATTCATAGCTTTGTATGAGTAAAGACTGTAACCTTATTCATCTTTCCTTCCTTAGTCCTCCTAGTACAGTTGATGTCATATACATTCTCGCTGAAGTGATTTTAATCCAACAGGGGAAGAAAAACCTGAGTTACACAATGATGATAGAAAATTTTAACTTTCAATCCCTTCAACTCCTTTTTATTTTGGGAATTACCTGTAATTGACTTATAAGCATTGACAAGACATCACTTTGAGGCTATAAAGAATGGTTGTAAAAACCTCTGAAAATCATAGCAAACACTGACGGAGAGCTTTAAGGTTTACCAAGAGTTGTACTTGAGTTATCTCCCTCTATTCTCACAACAACCTTGGTGTGATACTATTCTTACCTCGATTTTATAGATGAGGAAAGAGCCTGAAAGGCCAAGTGTTTTGCCTTCAGCCATACAACTAGTTAAGGGTATGAGGCTGGATTTGAAGTTGGATATTCCTAACTCTAAATCCAGTGTTCTGTGCACTTAGATCTGTGAAAGAATACTTTTATTTCGAGAATTTTAGGTGAATGTTATTTGAAATCTAGAATTGTTGGTATATAAAATGGACCAGCTTCTATGCCAGTTATTAGATAGATAACAATCTTTACATAAGGTGCTTGGCAAAACTTTGATTCTATTCTGGGTGCCTTCACTTACCCGCACTCGTGCTTGAAGTTGTCAATCCCCCTGGTACTCCCTAAGAGATTAATTATCCACCAAATAAGCCTAGGCCTACAAGATCCAATACTGGTGAATAAGGAACAGACCAAGCACAAGTGATGAACCTCCCTGGCTGGCATTTCTTAGGCTGCTTATGTTGAGTATCATTCTGATACCATTAAGTTGGGGTTAGGCTACTTGAATTTTTGCTGACCAATTAGTGTTTGGATTGCTCAAATCCAGATTTATTGGTACTCAGCTGCCACTGGAGAGAGGGCAAAGACTGTTTTGACATAGATCATGGATGGTCAGTATTGGGAGGAAGTCTGTAGGTCATAGAGGTCAGCCACCTTATCATACAGGAGAAAGCCAGCTCCAGGTGGCAGGTGTCTCTTGCAAATACCATTTGGATATTTGTAGAGTTTTACTCACTGAATTCTTCTTGCTCCTAGAGAGAATAAGTGATGACAAATGAAAGGACACCTTACAAAGGAATATTAGTCAAAAGAGAAGGATGTTTTCCTTCTTACGGTAAGATCTTTGGGCATCTAAAAAAATTAAACTGATCAAAACCATTTTCTCCTCACTTGATTTTGACTCTTTAGTACCCATACAACCATATCAATTTGGCTCCTTGTTGTAGTTAGTAGTTAGTAGTTAGTCACAGAAAATTATTCTTAGGTGTCTGTGTTGTTCTCTTACGAGCCATTAAATAGAAGAAAGACTATAAGAAATATGAAGATTAATCAGCATTCAAATCTTAGCTCTGCCATTTCTCACTATGAATGTAACTTTAGTCAAATCATTTAACCTCTTTAGGCCTCACTTTCCTCATCAGGACTAAAGAGAGAGTGGGACTAGATGATGTCCAAGGTCCTTTTCTGTCTTTAAGGTAACATCCCACAAGCTTTTTAAGTTACAGGAGAGGTCCAGGAAGCCCTTGTGGTTATGTGCAGGAAAAACAATGACAACCCAGGTTAAAAATGGGCCTATAGAAAAAACTGGGCAAATATTTAAGAATTTCCTTTGGAATAAAAGATAAATCTTCTACCAATGAAGTAAAAATGTTTGTCATTCAGAGACACACATATTACATACACATATACACATTCACATACACAGTACTCAAACACACACATTCACTTAATAGACATACGTCTATATATACACACAAACCCTTACACATACACGCATATGCACACATTCATACACACACCCATACAAACATAAATGCATCCATAAAAACAAAAAAAAAATATATATATATATATATTCACACATATACACATACAAGTGCATAAACACATTCACACAAATATACACATACACAAACCTACCTGTATACAAATTCACATACACACATACACCTAAAAACATACACATACATTCATTCACATACACACTGTTACCATGTAGCCTTCTAGATCTTATTTTCCTTATGCAAGGCTAGTCCAGCTTTTCTATGTAATGTTAAGACATGATCTGATTACATTATACATGGAACATTATACACAAAAAGTGCATGAAAGAAAACAAACCTTTTCCTCACTTTGAATTTCAGAGGTTTCTCGTGTGTATCTGCAAAAAAGAAAAAAGTACAAAAGGAAAAGCCAGTTTTATCAGATGCTGAGAGGTATTTTCATCTTTATTCATGGTATATCATTTTTAGCATTTCTTTGCATTCACAGCCATTGAACTCTCTCATGTGTTTTGCTGATGCTCATTCCATCCACAACTCACATCCAATCTATGAGTGGAATAAATTTATAGAAATATTTTACAGACAAATAGGAGCAGCAGGAGACTCCTAGTTTTCCCAATAAAAGTTCTCATATCAAGATATACCTAAGGCTACATATATACACTTTTTACTTGACTGAGCTAGCTTCTTTCTACACTTCCACATTTGTACACATTCTCTGACAAATCTGTCACACTCTGGCAAAATTGTTCTCACAACTTCATCTTCTGAAATGTTCTTAAATTTTTGGATTTTTCTGTAATGTGTTAAGCTTTTAGTATCATTCTATCATGGTAGGAAATATTTTATTCTTTCTTTATTTTTCCTTAGGAAGAGGTGTGAATCAAGAAATTATATTGCTGTAGACAAAGCATCCACAAATTGTTCTATTTTATCATGTTTTACTACAAGAAAATGGAGGAAAACAAAGAAATAAAATGAAAATAAATTTTTGTCATTGACTATTACTAAGACTTGCGCATATGGGTTTTCTCATTCTAATTAATCAGTCAATAATAAGCAGTCAATAAACTTTTATTAAGCACCTCCCATGTGCCAAGCTCAGTGCTAAGTGTTGGGAATACCAAAGATAGTCCCTGCCCTGAAGAACCTCACAGTCTTATTGGTGACACAACACGCAAACTGGGAAAAACAGGCTTAGAGGAAAGGAAGGGAACTAAGAGGTTAGGATATTTGAGGGAGTATGTTGAAAGTTCCTTAGTATGAGAGCAGGAGTTTGCAAGGAGAAGGACTGTGGATCACTTACTGAGGACAGAATGGAAGCATCCTGTCAAGCAGCAGATAATAGCTACTAGAATTTTGATTAGCTGGCAGACAGGGATTGAGTGAAGCTCAAATTCAGACAGGTTACTTAATCACAGTGGTAGAAACAGAACCTGGAAATGGGGAACAAGGAGTTTTCCATCTCCCCCAATTGGACCAGGAGTCAGACATCAGGTGGGGAGGGGGGAAATGGGAGTAAAAGTAGTCAGTGCTTGAAAGGGTGGCCAGGGAAGCTGTGTCATCAGCAGGGATCCAGGACTCAGGGAGAACCAGATGGAAAGAGTGGGGAAAGGAAGGATCTAAGATGAAATCAAATTTGTTTCCTATGGAACAGACACTCCAGAGAACATAAATGAAAGGATAATTAGATTAAGAATGGCACACTGGGGTAGGGAAGGGAGTGCTGGATTGACACAGATAGGAATAAGAGAGGCCAGGCAGGGTGACAGAGAACAAGCTTTCAATACTGATAGCTGTGAGAGTTCAGCATCACTCTGATATTGATAGCATGACCAGTGGGAGTTGGTTAATCATTAAATAAAAAATGTCAAGACATTTTTCAGTGTCCAGAGTTTGATGACCCCAGGGTAGTTCTTTAAAGCCTTGGAAGCCACTGAGGTGAGGGAGCAAGATGTTGGAGCAGAAGTGGTGACACTCTCCTTCCTCCAAGTCAGGAGATAGGACAGGAAACTTGAAGGAATGGCACCCTTTCCCTTCACCTCAGGGGTGGGAGACTATGATGAGGGAACAGGACTTCTCTTCACAAAGGAGGCTGGAGACCAGACTAGCTCAATCATCACTAAAGGTAAATTGGTTTAAAACCTGAATTCTGAGCAAGAAAACTCTGGAGTGTCCCCCTATGGTGGACCCACATCCCCTGGAAGGATTAGCAAAAAGGGAGGTGCCAGCTAGCAGTGTAAACAAGAAAAGTCATCTGAATGATGATGGTGAATGGCATGATAACAAGCCAAACTTCGAGTTCTATCTCTACCCATTGGTCCTCAGCTTTGAAAATGAAAAAGAAAGATCTTTTGTAGCTATGAAAATAACTTAGTGTTCTGGACTGTTCTGCGTCCCAAAGTCCAAAGCCTCGTTCCTGGCTCTCTCGTGTCTTCAGGCCCATCTATGTCAAAGCTGTCCCTACAGGGCCCAACCCCACCCAGGTGACCCTACTTGGACCTGTCCTCCCCCACGTGCCTCACGCACCCCCAAACCTCCCCCCCACCTGGGCTGGCTTGGTCCCCCATCCCTTCCTAACCCCCCAAGTGCTTTCAGGGTCAGGGGTCAGGGGCACCGGGCAGTGGGCGTGGGGGGGCCTCGAACACGCAGCGCCCAGGATGCCCCTTCTCCTCACCGAGGCCCACGCGGTGAACCTTGAGCTGCCCTTGGTCTCCGGGCAGGGGAACCTGCTGTGGCTCCAGGGCAGAGTCCAGGGGGCGCCAGCACCAGCCTGTGCCCTCCGCCCGGCCCCAAAGCGTGTCTGAGAGTGGGCGGCCATTGTGGGCAGCAGGCTGGGAGGATGGGGGAGGGGGCAAACGCTAGCATGTTATTATCACGTGGCTTCCAGGGGCGGGGCGTCCTGGCCCGCGGGCCAATGAGCGGGATGTCTTCCTGGTAGGCGGGGCGGGCTGAAGTGTGAGTAAGGGCGCCTCTCCCACCTACCGCCGCCGCACCCAAGCACCGCGTGCGGAAAGGGCGGGTCTCGTTCTCTTGATTAGTGCTGAAGGCCAAAGACTACACGTGCGGGCGAGAGGAGCTGCCCACGTCAGAGCCCCGCTCCCTCCCTTCCTTTGCTGGGGCCTGTTCTCGGCCGCGGGCGCGTGGAGAATGAAGGGTGCCCCGACCCCCACTCCCCACCTCACCCCGGCCACCCCCCCCCGAGGCTCTTTTCCCATCAGCCGGACCGCGGGTGCTGGGCCCGAGCTGGGGCTTCCTGAACCCACCTGGAGCCCCTGGAGATGAAGACCCAGCGTCGATGCCCCGCCCCGGATAACTTGTACAATTGCAGGATGTTGGGGTAGGAAGAACCATGACTAACTGTCCTGTCTCAGGGCCATTGAATGGACTCCATTCTTTGGCCTCCTGTGACCTTTCACACCCGGCCCTCGTAACCTCTGCAAAGGACCCCCCCCCAATCTTCCCCTCAGAGGCCAAACTCTGCCCCAGTTTGATTATTCATGTAGAATGTATCAAGGGTGAATATATTCTGGGTGGGGCTGAATAAATGTTCTTCCTCTTAAGAAACTCTATGATATTTAAGATATATAGATAGATAGATAGATAGATGTACATGTATATATATTTTTTTAATAAGGTAAAAAGCAATTACTTTTTGACACCTTTTATGCCACCATGCACTAACAGTTTTTCTTGGCAAAACTATGTTAAATTCAGTCATTTTCTGTTTCAGGGTCTTGCTAGTAATATTTGTTGTAGGCAGTAAAGTTAAGATTGAACTTCATTTTGGAGTGACATTTTTTAGAGCTGGTAGGTGATGAAGTGAATAGAGTGAATGGCCTAGAGTCAGAAAGACCCAATTCAAATCTGCCCCTCAGATATTAACTAGCTGTGTAACTAGGGGCAAGTCACTTAACCCTGTTTACCTCAGTTTTCTTATCTGTAAAATGATCTGGAGAAGGAAATTGCAAACTGCTCCAGTATCCTTGCCAAAAAAAAAAAGTGAAGTCACAAAAAATTAGACGTTACTGAAACAACCCCAAAACAACAAAAAATATTTAATACTATTTTCCAGAGACATGTGGATATACATTATATGGAAATACAAATAAATACTACATAGAAATATATATGTTAATATACATATGTGCAAAAACACAAGTTGATAGCTGAAAGGAAAATCTTTTTTAAAATAGGGTTTTTTTTTTCAGTTATCTAGCATATATTTTAATTTGCTCCCACTTCCCCAACTCCTGTACTCCTAACACTGGGGGGAAAAAAGACACAACAGATATACATAGTCCAGCAAAATAAATTCCAGTCTTGGACATGGGCAATGTTATTTTCTTAAATATTTGATATGATTGAATATAGCTCAGGTTAGGTGACTTTCATTGGACAATCATAGAGAAATGATTTGAAAGATGTAAGGTATCACATCTGTCCCATTAATAGGTACACATCAGACAACTCTGACCTACTCTCTCCAAGGATGGTGCCAGTCAACATATTTATCAATAATTTTGCTGACGTTATAGATGGTATTCCCATTAAACTTGGGGATGACATAATGCTAAGACAAATCACTGACACTAGGTGGGAATCAGGAGAAAGGAGATCTTAGACTAGAACACTGGACCTGATAGAATCAGATGAAAATGAAAAGGGATAAATGTCAAGTTTGACCCTTGTCTTCAGTGTCAACTTCAGAGATACAGTATGTATTCCTAGGTGGTAAAGGATACTTCCCACACCTGACTCTGGAAGTCTTTTTTCCCCTTCATGATTTCTCATCTCTAGTTATCTGCTGGACTCTGAGGATTGGTGCATTTCTAGAGTCCATCACAGTCACTTCTTTTTGCCATGAGGGGTCATGGTCCCTGAAGCTGCTGCTATCCTTAGGTAGTGACTATCTTTCCACATCCAAGTACAACTGCTTCCACTCCCCTGAACCAGTAGTGTTCCAATGGCCACTGTTCTGCTGCAATTCAGCTTTGATCTCTGATGGTTCCTCTGGATCTCCCTAACTCACAAGATCATTTGGAGATTTTCATTTGAACTACTCCTTTACCGGATGAGATCAAGAAAAAATAAACACAAAGACAGAGGTAGCCACATGGTCATATTCACTATGTCAGGATGGGAGATGTGGTTCCAGCATCTCTCTACCCCTGTGACTTGGTTTCAACTCTAAGAAGCCCTTCCTCCTGACCATAAAGAAAACTGATGAAGGTGCATGTCATTCCTTTTGTGTACCCACTGAGCTCAGTCATTAGTTCTTGTAGCTCCACTGCTGATTAGAAGACTTCATCATCACACAGGGATCTGTTATACTTGTTCAGAAATAAGCTCTCACCACATTTCCACATCATAACTTAGATTAAAGCAGGTAGAGATGCATTCTCCATGGACTGGTCTCCTCTAGGCCAGTCCACCTCAATCATGTGTAAAACGAGGAAATTGCTGATCAACCCAATGACCAACCACAATTCCAGAGGAGCCATGAGGTATGCTTCTCACCTCTCCAAGAGAGGTGATGGATTCAAGGTGCAAAAGAAAAGATGTATGGAAATGGCCTAAGCAGAAATTTGTCTTGCTTGACTATGTATGATTATTGCCAGGGTTTTTGTTTTTATTTTTTCTGTTTCAATTAAATGCAAAATAAAGGAATGGAATTAAACTAAGTATCCTCTAAGATGCCTTTCTAAATCTGGGAATTCTTTCCACCTTTTAGTGCAATATCATCTTTCTATCAAATCCAAGATTTTTTTGTTTGGTAAAATTTAATGGCAGCTTTGAACAAGAAAAAGACATTCTAATGGGAGAGGAAAAAGAGATAAGGCAATAGTGGCTTAGCATCCTTGTTGCTTGCCTTTTGTGTTTCTTCCGTTGTTATCATCTGTCTTCTATTGCTGTTTCTCTTCCATCCTTGTTTCTCTAATATTGAGGGAGCAT